ATGTTGTATATTCTCCATACACACACAGAACACCTCTGCTCCCACGGGGCTGAAGCCATCTCAAAATGTGCAAATATGGTTTAAAAGTTATTTAATTCATACCCCCCCCCCACAAAGCTTAGTAAAAAATGTATCAAAGCGAAAGCAAGGTATTCAGTTTTCATAAACAAGATAATTGCTCCTGAGTGGCTCCTTGAAGTCAGAGGCAGTCAGCAGCTGCAAACATCCGACTGAAAGCCCATTTGGCCTCCCAGCTTCCAGTCGAGGATGTTTACAGTCGCTCACTGTCAACAGCAGTGAGACTTCTTCTGCTTTTTGTTTGGTTAACCTGAAGAAAGGTCCCCAGCATGTGTTTTTAGGATGTATAGGATCTCTAAATTTATAAAAGACTCATTCAAACAGAAATAGTCTAGAAAATATCTCAAATTTAAAAGAAGCAAAGAGCTTCATGGATGCCTATTATTCATCTGCCAAGTTTCTAGACAATTTTGTGGTATTCTAAAGACAACATATACAAATAGCTTTCATCCATTACTGCTGGCCACAAGAAAAAAAATAGGCAAGTGGACAGGATATTTAACATGACTCCAAAATGCATTACATAATCAAAATCTTTCTTGGAGCAAAAGGGGCTGAACAGAGAAACAAAATTATCTTAACAGCATAAAGTGCACATTTAACAGTAAATACTACAGTGAAGTAAACTTAAGAGTATCAATAAAAATAGGAAAGTTATAAACTTACGAACTCTGACCAAAGAAAGAAAAGACTTACGTGCTGATTTTATAGATGACTTTTGTTCTGAAATCTGCTCCCAGAGAGGACTTGTACAGTCAGCTGATTTTTGAAAAAGTAAGCAACAATCAGGAGAAAAAACAGAAGGGACTAAAGAGGAATAGAACAGACATGTATTCGTCTGTGATCAAAGTTTCCCACTGGAAAAACACAGACCCTATCACTGGCAGCACAGTGACGCACAGTAACTGCAAATTTGAATGTTTTGAATTCCATTCCTATTCTCTTATGAAAATAAATGAGGAAAACTGAAGGTTAAACTCTATCACTGCCTACTTTCCTGAAGTAATTCAAAACCCTTTTGAATCCTGTGGAAGATTAAGCTGATACACAAAAGTGGGTGTGCCTTTCCCTGAGATTTGGTTTTAGATGAAGTTACAACAAGGCTCTTAAATTGCAGAAGTCTTTAGTAGTTTGTGAGCCAACCCAAAACAAAAACAAAATCCTCATAACAGTGTCATGTTTACTGAAACTGACAAATGTGAAGCGCTCCAGAAATGACTTTTTCAAAGCAAAGGGTAACTCTATCTCATTAAGGTTAGCAAAGTTAATCTTTGAGGCAGCAGGTGAAAACAAGCTGAATTATGTTGTGGCCCTTTTCTTTATTAACTAAGGACTTTGAACTATTAAAACTTCCTAGGGAACCACACTTTCTCAATGGGTCAAGTCACACAGGGGAACAAAGCAAACTTTATCAGTGCTGTGCAATTCTACATTCCAGAGATTCTTAGTACTTGGCGTTCATACACCACTACAGACCAGAACAGGAGTCAGTCATCCAAACTCAGCTCCAGCTACCAACCTCATGAACTTCTCACCAAGACACCCACTTCTTTTAAGTTATTCACAACTAGACAGGCGGGGTACTCTTTAATTAAAAGACAAATACCAAAGCTTATTCCCTGTGAGGTCACTGTACATCAGTAACTGTTTACAAAAAGAAAATATTTTCACTCCCATAAATTTTTCTCAAAGTGACAGACCCCCACTTGCCTTGGAATCTTACCACTTTTCAGTAATAACTTTAAATTAAAATGATAAATGGTGATTGACCAGCACATACTAAGCAAACAACCTAGAATAACAAATAAGTTCATGAACATGTGGAAGAGATAGCAAAACCTAGCACAACTTTGAAAAAACTCTTGCTCAGCATTTTATAAACAAACATGAAAAATTCTTCAAAGTATGGAAGACCTTAAGATCTTAGTCATAAGAGTTCACAGATGGAATTAAGAAGAATCAGTATGATACACTTCATGACCAAAAGTGTAGGTTTCTTTCCTAGCAAGATCTGAGAGAGGAAACCTATGTGAAAACTAAAGCAGATTTTTTTCCAATACAGCCAAACACAATTGTCAGTGTAGGTGAAATTCAATGTTAGTTGTTTCAACTATTTGCTTTTGGGGGCATTGGGCAGTACAGGCTCCACAGAGAACAATGGTTCTCAAAGTTATAGGGTGGCAGCAGGTTATCTGGACAGCTTCTTTCAAGCCTACACACCTGGATTTCCCTCTTGTCCCGTACATTTTGCAATTCTTCCACAGATGGGGAGGCTGCAGGACACATACATTTCGCAAAAGATAACCAATGCTTTTTTTGTACCTTCCCTACAGAGAACCACTGATAGATACAGAAGGACTGAACTAAGTAAGTTTGTCGAAGATTAAAAACTATTGCTTTAAAAAAATCATGATTTAAAAACAAATACCACAGAATAAGATCCAGTTGTATTCAACAGAGCGGACCCTGATTTGTCTTATATATCCTTGGAAATACAGAAAATAATTTACCTAGTTGAAAACAGTGAACTTCCTACTGCTTTGTTTAGGAGGTCCCGAAGTCTTCCTACCTCAAAGTGCAGTTCTGGTTGTTTGTACCCTGGTCAGGTCTTATAGTCTTACAGACTTCAGTTTCATTTTAACTATCTGAATAATTGTCCAGTTCCTTCTGGTGGGGACAGTTTAGACCAGTCCTGGACAAAGTTTAAAAAATTTTCTTAGCTATCCTAAATGATCCAATCTTGAATTCATTCAACTGACCCTGTGATAATATACTTTCCCCAGGCAACACATAACTAGGAACAGCTTAAAAACCAGCCACACAAGCCCCACCCTGCCTCTATTCATATAATCAATTCTCTGAGTTTTAAGAGATCAGAATCTTTAAATCAGATCCCCATATCTGGTGAGATTTTAAGCACTGATGAGTAATTGGCAGAGGTTATTCCTCTCCCCTCCCTGCTTCTAGTTTTCGGTCTCTCAGGACTCTCCTCCAGGTAGAGGAATGAATACCGCCACCTCGTCTTCCTCTCCCCATGTCCATCCACGCTATCAGTCCAGCCCTATGGCTAACAACAGCCATGTCCCTGTGAGCCCGAAGCCCAGGCAGCAGCAGTAACAGCAGTAGCATTCAGCTTCTCTCCTGTTATTTTAGAAATGCACTCGAAGACAAGAAACACAAGCAGTCTCCTACAGAAAGCAAATCGAGAGCTCATCTGAAATGGAAATGACCTAACCACACAAAGTTCTGCACCTGAAGATGAAGTCTTCACCTTCCCAGATCCATCCTTTTACTTTTAGGAATCTTCACTGTTTTTAGCCCAGTTCCAGGGCTTCTCGTTCTCACTATATTTCCTACTAATCATGAGCCTCCCTTTGCTTTTCTCTGGAAGTCACAAGAATACAGACCCTACCTGGCCCTTGCCTTGTGAATATGGATGGAGTCTAAGAATTTACAGGGAGTAATAATTTCCCATGAGCAGTGCAAGATTGTTAAGAAACTCAAATTTTAGGAAGGAAAGCATTAACTTGCATTCTACAGAGCTTACAGAGTTATAAAGAATAATATCCATAAAAAAAAATAATAATATCCATTCCAGTCGAGGCAGGAATGTAAATATTTTGTTCAATTAGCATTCTTTAATAAAATGGTAGTGAAAAATAAATAGAAAATTGAGCTGAAGTGTGTGTGCTTGAGTTTACAGCTTTAGTTCTAATAACGTGACCTTAGTATTATATGCTGGGCAATGTCTCTGCATGGTCTCATTTATTCCTGCCGCAGCATCATAAAGCAGTGCCATCACACATACATCACAGACGAGGGCCCCAGGATTAAGGCACTGAAATCACATCCCTGTCACTCTCCTTTTCTGATGTTCTGCTATGGCAAGTCTTTTTGGATCATTTGTGGAGCAGAAGAGGGCGTGGGTTTAAATTAATGGAGTTAATAATAGTTTGATAACTATTTCTATTGTAAATTGAGAATTAAAAGTTAAAAAAAATTAAGAACAGAAAAGACCCTTTGGTGATGAAAGCAATTCAGCCACTCATTCGCTCATTGCGTACTTACTGCCAAACTCTCCTTTACAGTAGTGCCCACTTACTACCAGGCCAGGTCCCCCCAGAGTCCACCAGTGGCACCCTACCTTCACCCACTGGCATCCGCCAAGAGTGCCCCTCCCAACTCTGGCCGGTTGCTCACTAGGAGAGGGTTCCACAGGGTCAGGGCGCCCAGCACCAGCTCTCATGGGACTTTCCACCCAAGCCTCCAGCTCCCTCCTTCCCCTGTGTCAGCACTTCTCAGGGCCTCGGCCAGCCCAAGACCACCTGCTGCCTCAGCTCAGCCTCCTGCCCAGGGGTGGCGCTCACCACACAGAAGCAGGACACAGAGCTTGAGGGACACCACGGTGAGGATGAGCTCCACTGTCACCATCCCGTGGCACACCTTAGAATCCAAGTGGGCTTTGAAAAAAGGAGAAAGCCAAGGTAGTTCAAATGATAAAGCTATCATTTCCCAAACTGTAAAAATCCAACATGATCAGTACTACACCTTTAGAATAATAAACTATTTCAGAGGAGCACAATTCTATAATGGAAACTGCCTCTTAAAATATTTATTTTATTTATAAATTTCACAACTTGAAAAACCACCACTTCTAATTTAGGTCAGCTGCACAAAGTTGATACGTCTATCAACATTTTTAGCAAGTTAAGTGATTGGAGTGCCGTTTTTAAAAGATTAGAATATAATCTTAATTTATTATTAATTTTAAAAGGCATGTATAAAGCCAAGGTTAATTTAGTCATTTTTATTCATTTTGTATAATATAATATCAATAATCAATTGCCATAAGAATAGCCAGTGATATACTTAGAAACTGATCCATACTAAAATTACGTAACTATTAAGACATGTTTTCAAAGCTAACAATAACAGAGACTATTAGACATCAAGTTAAAGAGAACCCAGGAAAAAAAACTATGTGATATTGTCATATTAAAAATTCATGGACTTTTCCTGCTTTTCTTTATCTTACAAGTTTCCTTTAATGTGAGTCCCGATATTTAGAAGAAGCTGACCCATCTTAGACACAGGGAACAGTGTCTGTCAAACATGGAGAGAACGAGGACGAAGGCTTCTTGGGGCTGGTTCTCTCCACAGGTGAGTCTGAAGGTCGAGGCCAGAGCACAGCACTCTCCTGCTGGCCACGCTTCGTCTCAGTCACGGCTGCACCCATGGGTGCCCTATGGGTCACCTCACACTGGGTGCTCAGTACATTCTACCTCAACTTTCAAGACACTGGCAAGAGAATTCTTAGAAAACGTATTTTTTACAACTACCCAGCATCTTTCTTTTGAAACATTTAAAAGCTTACATACAAGTCTTTAAAAACTGTTTTCCTTTTAACAATTGACAAAACAGTGACAAAAGTTAATAACTGGTTCTAGTCTAGAACCAGAGCCATAACACATATGAAGAAGGGATTCGCTATCTTGTGGTCTACAGAAGGGTCATGGGACAGGCAGATGATTTGGCCAAGATGGGAAGACAAGGGACCTGGGGCCATTTTGCTAAGATGCCTGGGGTGGGCCAATCACTTCCCCTGGGAGCCTGGGTCCATTTTCTCTACAAAGGGAAACTATAGTATCTACACTTCCCAGACCTCTCTTGACTAAGTGACTGAGATATGTATAAAAAGCACTATCTGCCCCTTAGTATGTTTCCTCATTATTACCTCCTGATTATGAATATATTAGGGCAAATAAATGAGAACAGTGCTTACTAATGGAGACAAGCTGCTAAAATGTTATTTGGGCTTTTACACTAACCACATGACCTCATTTAACCTCACTGGACACCAATTTCCTCAACTATAATAAAAGGGTTAATCAGATGCTCTATAAAACCCTTCCAGCCATAAACTCCTATGACTCTAATTCCTTCCATGGTGGAATTTATGAGGTACAGAGGCAACAGGAGCGAGGGAGAGTTGGAAGATTTTTTTTTAATCAAACACCCACAAATCATGAAAGCAGACTTCCCTTAACTAGTGTGATTTTTTTTTTTAATAATACAAAGAACCAGCAATTACCCTGAATTCATTCAACTCACTTTCCACACCTGCACACTTTTAAAAATAGGTCTACAAAGCTGCTGGAGAACACATGTACAGACAGTAGTTAGCAGATGACTTGTAACTCTCTCTGCAGAAAAACTTAGTTGTCTCCAATACGACTAGGGTGGGAAATGGGTGTCAACAGCAAAGAAAAAGGAGGCCAGGTGACTTCTACCAGACGCAAACAGGGACAGAGTGGACAGAAAATAGGAACCTAAAGGCAAAACCTCGCACTCAGAGCTCAGGCCATACCAGGGTCACCAGACCTCCACACCACTGCATCGGAGAAAGGGCAACTTAATTTAAAATAGCTCATTCACTTCAAAATCAAAGACACCTTCAGGAGACTTCTGTGAGTTCATCTTTGACTCACAGTGATTTGGGCTATCAGCAGCTCAGTTGCTCAAGTAAGAATTTAGATTTTCAACAAAATAACTATACACCTGTAGGATAAAAACCATACTTCTGTTCAGACTAGTTAGGAAACAATTCATGTTATGGATGCACTCTACTGTATTCACCTAAATAACAAGTAGTCACCACAGACCCATGCTGAATATACCCACTAGGGATACTAAAGACAGAAGTGCTCATGTGACACTCATTTCACTCCTAAGGCCAAGCACTAAGTCGAGTTTGTAGCTGCTGCTGGAGAGGAATCTGGGAAAGCTTAGGACTGTTTCCACCAGCTTCAAAGCCTGGGTTTCTTTTCTGCCTAACGGTAGGCTTGGCATGATGGCAGTCTAGGAGGCACAGAAGGAGAGGACAGGGGAGGAAACTAAACATTTCTATGACAACAGGAAAGGATGGACAAATATGAAAGACAGATAAAAGAACAAAAGAAAAGCTCCTTTTCCCTTTTTGTATTTTGAAAGGGTGACTTATTAGTGTTTCCTCAAATGTTTGAAGATCATGTTATTGCTATACAATGGTCAGAGAAAAACTTTAATTTACTTTATTTTACTGACGGACATCTAAACAAACCTGATAAGATTATGTTTCTCTATCTGGGGAAATGAACAGCTACCAAAAAAGAAATTTTCTCGAAATCAACACTTTAATCATTTATATTAGCTCAACATTTTGTTGTTTAAACAGGGTTTTTCATAAACGCAATGAGTAATCTACCTTTGGTACAGAGAGCTGGATAAAAAGATTTCAGGAGTACCCTAAAATGAATTAATAGAAAATTTAAAAGTAAGATTGAGCCCATACTTAGTCTTTCTGGAAGGGTCATAATCTGTGCCAATACAATAAAAAATCAGCAGTAAGAACTTGCAAGCCTGTGATCTGACCAATAAAATTATTAGATATTATCTTAGGAGTACGTAAAAAAATTCTAACCCTTGCTAAATTCTTATTCCATCTTTAATTTTATATTCTATGGAACAAAAGTGCCAGACTTTTATTTCACTGAGACTATTAAGAGAAGGACTTATATACTACTGTACAATAAGAATACACTTATCTTTTAGAAAATGAACTATTTAGAATCTTTAGGGGAAAGAATCAACCACGTTGTTTACCACTCTAAAGCATGCAATGTCTTAACTCTTATTTTTTCTTTGTTTCTAAGCTATTTTTAAAAATTGCCTCTGGCATTTTTAAAATGTGTTATGAAGTCCTTGGGCTCTGGCAGTTTTTTAACTACTAAAATAAACATAGCAATTGAGTACCTGCAGTTCTGCTAACAGTATTGTTTGTATTATAAGTCCCATTCAGGAAGACTGTGAGAAAAAGATCCAGTATAAACAAGCATTACTGAGATACCAGTGGCATCTTAAAGCAGCACACCCAAGTCTCAAAATGCAGATGGGAGAAATTTTCCACTCCCTGGGCACTCACCCCTGGTATGAAGCACACACGCTCCAGGCAGAAAAAGAGCGTGACATTGCCTCTGTAACCTGAGGAGGAGGTGTGCATGTGAAGCAAATCTGCAATTCTTAGTTTTCTCAATTGTAAAATGAAGATATTTGTTACTATCGAGTTCAGAAGATTAAATAAACTAATATTTATAAAGTGTTTAGGACAGTATTTGGTACATGAAAGTACAAGAATTTGTTAAATAAAATAAAATAAACCACCTGTGAATACATATGCCCAGGTCCAAATGAAGGCAAGCTCTTTATGATGACAAAGTACACTTCAAACAATAAAAGAACAGCAACTACTTTGATTTTGTTACTCTATCATGTATCCAATAGACTTATCTGGACTTAATGAAAGATTTCTGAAGAGATTAAACTTTATCTTAAAGTAGTAAATTTAGTCAGTAACAGTCCAGAGATACTAATTACTCAGAAAGAAAAAGTCTATTAGCTGAAACTGTAGCTTACAAAATGGAAATTGCCACTGTTATTCTGGAGCGTCCTTGTATTCAGCACTGTAAGGATTTGCGTAGGGAGATGATATTATTTAAGATGTTTTATTGGATATTCTAAAAAAGTATCAAATCTGAAGCTAAATGTTTGACTAAGAGAAAAGGATATATTTTTCATTTGGAGATGGGGCTATAATGAAATAAAAGAAACAGCTCTAATGAGAACAGAAAAAAACAAAAAGAAAAGATGGGGCAATATTAATGAGAAAATAAGATGAGTTCTATGACAGTGGGACTAAGATACTTGTTATGTGTGAATAAGTAAATGATATAATAACATCAGAGTTCACAAATGGACCAGAATACATTTCAAAGATGGAACTACATATTGGCAAAGTATAAAATTACCTCCTGAAAAAGAAAACTCTGGTTTAAATTTAAATTTTCCTACTTGATAACTATTTTTAAGGTAAAAAGTTCAAAAAACAGATCTGGTGTCTCAAAGGTAATTCCAAGAAATGATAAATGTAAGTCAAAATTAAGCAAAAAGTTTAGTAACATTTCC